AGCGGCGAAAAGTTGAAACAGAGTCAACTTCTGGAGAAACACAACCCGATGTCTCGCTGCAGTGGCCAATCACGTAAGCCGGCGGACGTCCAGCGGAAGAAGAATCTTTGTTCACCTTTTGCATAATTTGTTCCTTTCTTAGCTTTGGCTTTCAATCACTGCTCCTTAGAAATGTTAGATTCTACCTAATGCAAGTCTTTCTTTATTTCTAGTTTCTTCATCCACCCCCCCCTCTGTAACTCATTCACTAGTAATTTCCAAGTGAGTTAGCCGGTGTTAACAGACAGATTTAAGTGCCCCTGATGAGGCTCACAGTCACAGCAGCACCCTCTCCAACCACGTATGGCTACACAGGCAAGCAGGGAGATTTCAAAATGCTCACAGAGAGAGCGTTCACTCAAGCAATGTGGCATTTTTATAGCCATGCGTAATACCACCGCGAGGGAGTGACTTCTTTATTGCAAAAAGTGACAGGGCAGGGGATTTGTTTCTACACAAAGTGTGCGTAACAGCCATCTAATCCTGTAGATGCAGGACCTTAATTCAATGTAACAAAGCAGATAGAGGGGTTACGTCTGTTTTATTCTGCATTTGAAACATATCCTGAAGGTAATAAAGAGATCAGAGTGAAGGAATGTGTAGAGTACAGGTAAAGGCTGTGTTGCGAGCATTATAAGTCACAGGTTGTGATGTTTAGGGCTGCAACCAAAACTTATTTTCAAATATGTTGACACTCTTGATCAACCGAGTAATCGTTCAGTATTTAAAATGTTCTGAAAGCGGTGAAAATTCCCATCAGAATTTCCTAGAGCCTGAGGTGACACTTTTACTTGATAAATGACAAACAATTGATAATCAAAACTGTTGGTCTACTAATGTGGAGTGTGGTAGGAGTGTGTGGGTGTGTGTGGGGGGGGGGTGCTGGAGCTGGATCTATTTTTGGCCACAGGAAGTAGTGTGATGTGTCAAGAGGAAATGATATGATTAGAAAAAACAGGGATGTTTGTCTATTATGCATGCTGCACAGGAAATCTGTCCAGCGCTCAGATTTGCAAATGAATAGAGTGTCTACAGCAGATATAAAAAATAAAAAAAAAAACAGACCTGAAAGGGAAGTTTATGCAGAGATATACTCACCTATGTAATAATAACATGTCTGTTTGATGCTACAGTAAACAGACAACACTGCAACAGACAACAATACCCTGGCCATTAAGGATTTTCTGCCCTAAAACCAAACATACAGCCCTTTATGTATACATACTGTGTCTCATTGTTATCCATTCACTTTAACAGAGCATTAGTGGTGGCTATTTTGCAAAGGGTTATATCTGTGTTACTAAAAACACACCCTATTGTTCACATTCCTCTGGCTTTTATACTCTCAACCAAACGTCCATCCGATGAGCTCATGCAATTAAATAGAAGAAAGTTTTTAGAAAGCTTTGGCCAGATGCTCACTGTGTTCTCTAATCGCAGCAGTCAGTCTTGAGCACTTTCCAAACCTGTTAGGGTTTTTGGACGGCCACCGCTGACCCCTTCCACCCCATCTCCCTTATCAGCGCTGAGCACACATGGAGGAGTGTGGTTTCTGGGAGGACGCAAAGGTCCTTTTCTCAATGTAACGCCTTGATGGCTTTTATCTACCCAACGGTGTCCCAAACCTCCAACCTGGCTTTGGAGGAGAATACATAATATTGCCTATTGATCTCCACATTGTGGCCGTTATGGCATCGCTGGCTTTAAACCCAGGAGGAGATGCAAGGGATGTTATGAGGCTGAAATTAGAAAGCTGGAAGACATAATGAAAACACTCCCACTCGGACAGAAATAGCAAGTGACAAACTCTGCCTTTTGTCTAAATTTGAGAGGCTGCAAAAGGAGGGTGACTAAATCAGATCATCTGCCAGGGTTGAAGTTTCTCTTTAACCACCCCTGACACGCTCTTCACTCCCACATAGACAGTTTTAGCAGACTTTGACAAGAGAAGGTCAACAGGATGGGTTTCCGTTTCCTGTAGTGTCTCAACCTTGTTGCAGGGCAGCAGGCAATCCAGACAGGTCTGTGCTCTTTTGTATTCCTTATTAATTGCAATTTCTGTCTTTCAAGGTGACCTTTACCCCTTTAAAGCAGGACTGAATTAAAGGCCTGAAACCCTCAAGGTTCAAATGATCAAAGTAATGATGTGTCATTCTGTTGTGCTGTTGTTGGACGTCTTCTCTGCAAACACTGCCAACATTTCCACCTAATCACATTAGTCATGCTCTCTGCTCACATTTCAGCCAACACCCCCTGACTGAATCCGCGTGATTCATAGTCGAATAAATGAGAAACAAAAAAACTATATGGACCTAAAGTGCAGCCAGCCAGATGCCCATAAGCATGCTGAAAGTGTCCTTTGACAGATCAGGCTATTGTGAAGGCAGCGTCCTTGAGCATAATGTCTGTTTGATGGAGGGAGCACGTCTGCTTCAAAGCATGATTAAACGCTGACAGGCTCTCTCTTTAAGTCCCTGACGAGAGGAAAGACGCGATTCAGCAACAGCAAGTAGTGAATGATGTTTTAGTGTGTGCACAAATGGAAACAGGCGTGGTGGAGGAGAAGGGCTTGTCGGGGCTGCAAATCGACAGACGAGAAAGAAACAAACTCCCCTCACCTCTTTGCATTCACGCTGGCCCCACTGATGATCGCTCTCCCGTCCTTTCGTCTCTTGAGGGGCTCTTCCGCGCGCACACCGACTCCAACGGAGGGTTTCTTCGCAAAGTTTGCTGCAACATCGCGTCCGAGCACAGAGGGAGACGGGGAAGAGTTTCTGCTGTCCTCCTCCTCCTCCTCTACAACTTCTTTTAACAGCGGATCGTCCGCGGCGTTCCCCCCCCAAAAGTACAAAAGTAGGAAAACTCCCAAACACACGGCGATCACAACTACTTTGCCGTGGATCCGCATGGTGAAAGCGGCTTGTTGCGGAAAGAAGAGGCAAACGGGACTCCGCTCATGTCTGCAAGAGGGGGAGAGCAGCCCGAGTTGACATTTTGTTACGGATCCCCTCTCGCATTTTTCTGCAGATGATGATGGAGAGCGGAGAGGAGCTTCTCATCGCCCATGGAGGATTACACGGCGGAGGCGGGGCTTCCCCAGCATTACCGTAATGACGGTATTACTAACGCGCTATTATATTGTAATAAAGTAAGGGTTCAAATGTGTCTGTAATGGTTTATCTATGTTTTTTCCGCTGCCACATCAAAAGTACTTTTACACAGCTTGGATGGTTTTGCCATGTTATTATAATTTCTCTCTAAAAATGACACATTGCCACCCTACGTTTTGTAGGGGGAGTTCATGCAAATTCTATAAAATCAGTTTTCATTCATAAAGGAATAATGGCCCTCTTATTAATCTTTAAAATTGACTGTAATCTTCCATCAAGTGACCCTCATCCTTATTATCACCAAACAATTTACACTACACATGATAGCTGCAGGAATCTTTGTAGACTCAATAAAGACCTTAGTCAACTCAGTGGTGAAAGAAGGATTCAGATCTTTTACTTTAGGCAAAAGTAGCAATAGGCCTAGCACAGTTTGTGGACAAGTAATGAGACGCAGATCAGCTGTCCCTGGTGTTCACTTGCATCTTTAACATCTCACTGGAGACAGGACCTGCTTCAAATTGTCCCTGTACCCAAAAAACCAAGGACCACAGGACTTAACCATTACAGACCCGTCACCCTGACCTCGGTGGTAATGAAGTCATTTGCGGGCCTTGTGTTGTCCTACCTCAATACCATTACAGACTCACTGCTGGACCCCCTGCAGTTTGCCTACAGAGCCAACAGGTCTGTGGACAGTAAACATGGTCCTTCACTTCATCTTGCTGCACCTGAACTCTTCAGGAACCTATACCAGGATTCCAGCTCTGCCTTCAACACCATCATCCCGGCTCTGCTGCAGAACAAGCTCTTCCAGCTCAGTGTGCCTGACTCCACCTGCAGGTGGATCACAGACTTCCTGTCTGACAGGAGGCAGCACGTGAGGCTGGAAAAACATGTCTCTGACTCTTGGACCATCAGCACCGGTTCCCCTCAAAGTTTGCAGATTCTTAAGACACTGTCTTAAGTGTCCTTCCGCTTACTGTGCACCATAACCCAGGACCTCAAGTGGGTGCTGAACATCAGGCCAGGGTCCATCAAGACCAAAACCTCACGCCATAAGAGCAGTTTCTTTCCATCTGCAGCTGGCCTCATCAACAAGGCCCATGGCCCCCACTGACACTCACTTGAATCCACGACCTTCTTGCTGTGAGGCGACAGTGTTAACCACTGCACCACCGTGCCGCCCCTCTTAAATATTTAATATTTTAATATTTATATATTTTATGTTTATTGTTATGCACCAAGTCATCAAAGCAAATTCCTATGTGTAAATCTACTTTGCTGATTCTGATTCTGATGATGAGTCCCTAACTATTTACGCCCTACTCTCCACCGTCTTTGCTGGTCAAGTGACCACAAAGTCAACTTTGTTCTTGTTGTATGATTTCTTTCTGCAGATCCTCCATATAACTCGAGGGGATAAACACTCAATTTGAAGGCATGATAATGGTCCCTTTCACATCTTTTCAATGGGAATGTTTAGGCTACTTCTTTCTAAGTTTTGCCCTTGTAATTTGTGATTAGAAATCTTAACAGAAGCTTTGATGTAGGAACCCATGACCATCCCAGGCCAGTGTCCAGTAAACCTGTTCCATGTATCCACACCACAGTGTAAAAATCAAGGCCTGCATTCAAAATCCTATCTAAAAGATTGCACATATAAGTGCTCACTATGCAGCAGAACAGCATGTGTCAGTAATGTTATGCCACTTTAGCTCAACTAGACTAGGCTTTCATAAAAACATTTCTTTTGCTATACCGACACATCTTCATATAGGCTATTGTTGTTGCATATTACCGTGTGCTACCTGTCAAAACATTTTTATTGCCAGTTTGCACTTTGTACTACGGTAAAACATGGACGCTACATCCAAGCGCTGTCAGTGAAGCTTGTTGGGATAACTCAGTGCTTCTCTGGTGAGTGTGTATCTTTGTTAACTGTATGTAAAACGCCTATGCTTTAGTGACGGTCACTGACGGGATTCAAACAGTCCATTCCCACAGTGTGCATCTGAATAGAAGTGGCGATAGTGTTGGGTAGCGGAACCGTAATCTTTCAGCTAACTGCTGCTACGTTAGCTGAAACACGAGGAGACCAATCATGTGTTAGCTTAGTTTACAGGCTAGTAGCCTTCTAGCCCTAAAACCAAACTTCTTTCTAAAAACCTGTCAACTCAGTATTACATATAGCCCATCAACAGATACGGTCACCTCATAGATAACCACTTAATGTTGTTTAATTGTTACAGTCTGTGGTTTAATTCGGGATGCACAGGTCAATAAAATACTACGATATAACGTTATTCAAAACGTTACCTTGAGCATTTTAATACACGCCAAGTCCGCAACTTCCTTTACTAAAATAACGTAGACAAGATAAGATTGTAAGACTATGTTAAACAATACATACTTAAAAAAACAGGCAGAGGGAGTTTCATGCCGTTATAATTAATTAAACGGGTTAAGCAGTGTTTTGAAAGGTAAAGTTACACACAAACAAAGACCTTTTTAAATGTCCAGATTGTCGAATGCAGTTTGGTATCTCTTTCCAAACAAGCCAAAGTAAAGACACCTTCGGTAAGTTGCTGCATAGGAAGCAAGTCGTCACGTTTTGCACAAGCTCTGTGTACAGTTCTCACTATCAAGTGTGGCGCACGTGTGTGGGCTTCTTCTCTCATCTATAACAACATTTAATAGAGTCAACCACAAGGTGGCATGATATAGTCAGCTCAGCCGTCATTTATTCCAGCAGACTGCTGCGGAATGCAATCCTGTACATTATTACTGGAGCTTCAGATTCTTCCTGTCATTGATACTACAGGTCTGTGTTACATCAGTATTGATCATGATCACCCCTGCGTTTGACCTGAGCCAAGATCCCGAGTACCTGATCGTCAGCATCCGCGTACCCTACACCAGAACCTCAGAGTTTGACCTCTACATTGATGGAACAGATTTCAAGTTCTATGCTAAGCCCTACTTCCTCAGGTGAGTTGACCAATACAGAGAAACTGATGCAGCTGTGTGCCTCCTGTTGAAACCTAACTTGGCTGAAAGAGGGGGCAATGAAAGCAGTTAATTAATGGGACCCATCTATCTCAGACTTCGCAGTGATTTATTTTTTGACCATCTCAATATGAATAGAAAAGTGACAGGATCAAACAAATGGGCTGTAACCATCTGGGTCTGTGTATGCTATTTTCAGATTATCTCTTCCTGGAAGAATTGTGGAGGATGGGAGAGAAAAGGCCACATTTGACATTGACAAAGGTAGGTCACAGTATTTTATGATGAAAACTCCTACAATGGTGGTAAAGCAGCGTGGCTTGTCATATTACTTGTACGGTGATGTCACATAACAAAATGCCTTCTGAGGTTTTTCACTGAATGCAGCTTTGTGGGAGCAATGCTCATTTAGCATGCACACAACCTGGAGGAATAAACACTTCCTACAGCTTTTCCCTTATTTGATTATTTTTGGAAAGAAGTAAAAAAAAAAATTAATAAATAAATAAAAAAAGTTCTAACTGATATCTTCCATTCGTTGTATTTCTTATGTGCTTTTTTTTTCAACACTGTGAAACAAGTAAAACCTATTTTTTAGTTTTTTCCTCCGGTGTTTGTCAGAATGTGTTGACCTTTCTTTCAACAAGGGACAGCAGTTTTCTAGTATCTTTTTTTGTTGTTGTTTTTTCTCAAAGTTGCACAAATGCTATCTCAGCATATTGAATTCCCCTTCACACACAAACACTAGACCATATACCTTATCATACATTCCTCCAATATGCATGCTTAGCAGGCGTTGTAAAAAGCAGTGTAATCGTTTTGGCATTTTCACCTTTATCGGATAGTTTTATAGTGAAGTATAGAGAGAAAGAGAGGCGTATGACATTGACCAAAGGTCCCTGACTAGGATTGAACCGGGGACGTTGCAGTGATATGGTATGCGTCTTAACCATTAGGTCACCGGGACTCCCCAAATTTGTGTAACTTGACTGGGTTTCTTGTCTTTATTTGGTCATCTTGTAAAAAGTGGACGTTTCAGTGAACAACTTTTTTTACAGTGATATCACATTGAGATTGAGTCTCAATGCGGTCTGCAACTAGGATAAGTCCAATGATGTGCATGTGGGTTTCAGGACAACAACACACATATATGTTTAAAACTAAAATAGATCTGTTATAGCTGGAAACTTTAGACATCTTGGCATTTAAATAAACATACATGTGCTTGCTTTGCATGACATTGGCGACCTGTCACACTCTCACCAGGCACTGACTGAAAAATGGTTGTAGTAGCAGTCAGTGATTGATCCCCGGGGTGTCTTTTAGTTTGTGCTTGGGTCAATCAGCCAGGGCCACTTAAAGGGCCACTGGAGCCAGCTGCCATGTCATAATGATTACAGCCTGCAGGCAGCCTGTAATGTCTCTTGTCACAGTGACAGTGAGAGAGCTCATGGAGGATGTTCTATGTTGTTCTGTTATTTCTAATATATAACGAGCAAATTAAACATCACAGTGACTGTCAGGGTGTCTCTGTCACTGTGATCTGTCTTTCAGTTCCTGTTTCACATAATCTGTTCTAACGAAGTTGTCTTTATGGAGGCGTCTGCCTTATGAGCTCTGACACCTCATTGCCCGTCTGTCAGCATGGCCTCCGTTAACACGCTGTGTCCAAATAAGCCTGTAACATCTGCTAATAAAGCTCCGCTAATGAGTGTCCTTGTTTAGACTTATAATGAGCATTCATTAAGATCCCTCTTTCAGGCTCTGCATTCTGCAAGGCCCGCAACTCAAGCAATTAGTCAGCCTCCACTGTAAAGCACATCTAAGCTTGGGTGCGTTGAAATTTTATGAGGCCTTTAGGCTGCCATCACATTATCTGTGTGGTGTGGCCAAATCAGTCTGAGTCATCAATCATGTGTTGCCTGCCATGTGTTAATAGCAGTTTGTAAAGAAACAACTTCATTTGGATGTATTGCATGCACAGTTGGCCAGATTGATTGAAGGGGTACTTGCTTTAAAATTAAAATCTCCTTTTAAAGTGATTCCTCTTTCAAATTAGTGGTCTCACACTTCCTTCTGTCATGTTTTTGTCTTCCTCTCCTCTCACATGTAGTGAATCTTAAGTGTGAGAATTTCTTTTTGGACACGCCACATGTCAGTTTGTAGAGAGCATTTTCTCTTTTCTGTCACTAAAACAACTTCTAAATTTATATATATTATAACGTATATGTAATAATAATAATAATAATTCACCTGTAATGAATGTATTATTAATGTCATTTATAGAAAAATAATTAAAAAACAAATATTGTTGGGTTGAAAGTAATGCCTGTTTTCATTATCCATTTCCATCCATGTCTTTCATGTCTTTAATAGCATTGTATGAAATGCAAAAACCTAATATAAATTCTGAATTTAAATGACTAAAGCCTCAAGTGACGTATGTTACCCAGTGACTAGTCACAAAAATATGTGAAGCACATACTGTAAAATGACATTTGATAAATGACAAAAGCATTGATTGGTCATCTAAATGATGAATGTGGTTGATTTTAATTGGTTCATTGTTTCAGTACTATCATTCAGTGTATAAAATAACAGGCAGGATTGTTTGTAATGGTTAAAAAACACCCCTTACTTCAAGCCCAATCTTGCTGCAGGTCTCTTCACTCTTCGGGTCCCTAAGGAAACAGCTGGAGAGCACTTTGAAGAACTACAGATGCTGACAAGTCTCCTCGCACCAAAAGGCTCCCGTTCTGCAAAACCGTTGATAGAGGACTTAAGCGCAGGTAAGTCAAATCAATACATCAGTTTAATGTCTTTATTAACTGGCAATCAATCATTTTACGGTCTAAAGATAGGAAATATACAACAGAATGGTGCAGAATTACTCTCAACCATAACTTCTTAAGGATGCAGTGAAAACGTGGGAGAGGATGAGGATGAAGATGAGGAAGAATTTGACTGGCAGGTTGAGCAGGAGGTGTTCAAGGAGAGCACTGAGGAGGAGCTGAGAGCCCAGCAGAAGTATGGTTTTGGCAATCAGAGGTCTGGAGTGTTTGCAAGATTACAGGTGAGGTTACAGATAATGATTTTTTTCCCACAGCTGTGAAATCCATGTAGCTTTCATGAGTAGATAAAAATGCTCAGTAGGACGTTTTTTTGATCATACAACTAAAGTTAGGATGCCATTGCAAGGTCTCATATGTTAGTCCTGTCCTGACAGGAGGAACTGAGCGATGTGACTGATGTCAAGAACCCAGAAGGAACTTCAGCAGCAGAGAGGAGGCAGGCACGGCTGGACGCAGAGGCATCTGCTTTTTCTCCTGACCACTACCTGTGAGTTAATCAAAGTCAAACCCTTCGACTCCCTAAAACATGGCTTTCCCCCACCCCAGGGCTGTGTGCTAACATCTCTTTGTTATTGCAGGGCGGATTTGTTTGAGAATGATGAGATAAAGGGGCTTCTGAAGTTTAGGCCATGGTGGGCAAAGCTGAGTCCTTCTACTGAGCAGGGGGGAGAAGCTGGTGAGTTCAAGTTATCCCTTCATGATCTTTAAAAAAGGGCTTAATATGAATTCTCTCGCTAGGATCAGTCTAATATATGGGTGTTTTCAAAAAACAGTAACACGAATTTACACGAATTAGTTATTTTTTATTAAATGCTACCAGTGAACTGACAAATTATATAAAAAAACAAAAATAAGTTAAAATATAAAGAAAGTTTAATATAAAGATGCTAAACAGAAATGGGTGGAGTGCATGTGAATTTGTACTTTTTTTTTGCGCTTTTCTGAAGTTCTTGGATTGCCACCTTCAGTTTGCACTGTTATGATCAACTTTAAAAAAATATATTATAATTGAAAACATTTTATTTGTCCTTAAAGTGGGATGCATATCATATATCACAGTTAAAAGTAACAAAGTAGTGACTGAAGGCTACCAGAAGATGGCATGTGTGTGGCAATAATTGAGAGGACAATCATGCATTGTTTGTTAGTATTATTTTACAACATTAAAATACTCTTATTGACCTTTTATAACTATCCCCAGTAGTACTATTCCAAAACTTTCTCTAATAGTACTGTCCCTTGAAATACTGTATTATTCCAAACAGGAATCTGTTGGCTGGGATTGATGCCTGCAGGGCACTGACATTGTTCTCTGACAATATATTAATCCCCAAAGGACACGAGTCTTTTCACTGCCTCCTTCTAGTGGAAGGTCAGCTAGAAAGCTACAGAGCTGCACTTCCTGCCAAAGTGCCTCAGGGCTCTTCAACAGGAAAGACACTTTCCATTATGAGAGACTGAACTTGGACCTCCTCTAATCACCACATCTCTCTGCTGCCGGTTGACATCTGCTGAGTTAGAATGCGACAACTCCAAAAAAAAAAGCCAGTATTTCTACGGTTTTCTTTTTGCAATCACTTCCTATCTATTTCAAAGCCACGGCTCATTTACTTAGATTGAGACGTGCTGCGTGTTGACTGGAGCCTCCCAGCTTCATTTCTCCGTTCAGCCTCTTGCATAGGAGCGATCGCTCAGCACTGCGAGAGACTATTTAATTGTGCCATCCGGCTCCGCTATCAGCCTGCTAATTCCTGCACTTCCACTGTCTAAGCAGTCGCATGGCTCATAGCCACAGCTTATGTGTAGTGCATGGGTGTAGTACTCTTGAGAGAGGATTTAGATTAAACAGATAGCATTATCACAGGAGGGAGTGCTGCTGGTCGAGTCTCCACCAGCGAGGGCCCGATCGCTGATGAGCAGACATCAGTCAGCAAAGCAAAGGCCATTAGTTTAGCCTCCATAGAACATTATGGTTCCCCGTAGCCCTGCCAGCTCCCAAGTCTCGTTTTGCATTCTAAGACAGAGTGGCTCATTCGGGAGCCCGGGCGTAGCTAAATGGGCCAAATTAAACTTAATGGCTTGATTGACAGGTTGAATATTATTAGCCTCAGCTGAGTGTGAAGAATGGCGTCAGTCCGGAGATTTAAGAGTCTTGCCGTCAAATCTTTAAAGTGTGCTTAGGATTTTAACTGTTTGTCGTATATTTAAAATGGCAACTACAACTCCTTCATGTGGGTTTTTAGACTTTCCCCCCATCACTTCTGCTAAGTCTGATATATATGTCACCTGACAGATGGATGTGGACACAAGTGCTAATGAAGTAGAAACGGGCCCCTTTGTGCTCTCCAGTGTCAGGGTCAGCACACTGACAGGCCACAGCTGTCCACTGGAGGCCAGGCTAAATGGTCCTGACAGCTTGGTCTCTCTCTACCTGCTACACTTTGTTATGGCTGGCTTTTGAAAGCTGACCTTTGGCTAAGTTAGATAGCACTACTGCTGCAACACCCAAGTTTACAGTTTGAGCAGACTGCGTCATTAAATGTCCCTTTGATTTGATACTTGACATGATCACACTGTGCGTATGCACAAGATTAACTGTATCTGCCATCCAAGGTCATATGTTGACCTCAGATTTGTGGAATTCTGCAAGTGTTTTCCAAGCCTCAGCAGTATTTTGACAAAGCATATTTACTCCATGCCATCAGGCCATCTGGACCTGTAGAGAGCAGCGAAGAGCCAGGCTGCCGTTCCAACTAGAGGAATTAGGTCAGAAATTAATTTGCAATCATACTCACACACTGTTTGCTAATGCCCATTATAACTGATTGGCTCCGTAGCTGAGATGAATGAATGTGGTGTAAATCTATCAAGTCTGCTCACCTCACAGGGTTGGCTGCAGAATTAATAGAATATACATGGCAATGATGAGGCTGCAGGGTCCAGCCTGCGAGAGGGTGGGCGCTCTGTCACTGTTTAGATTTTGCATTCACTTATTGTGAATATCAGTTTTTAATTGCAAAATCTGAGTGTACTGTGCAACATCAGTCTTTAGAACAGACGTCCGCTGAAACACTGCGTTATGTCAACATTTGTAGACTAATTATTTATTTATGTGTGTGTGTGTGTGTGTGCGCGCGCGCGCTTAAAAAAAGTAGTTTGGCTTGTCTTTGATTATCCTCTTGTAATTGTTAGACTTGCAGTTGCCTCTGATTGTAGCTCAGCAGCAGTCATTGAACAAACCTGTTTTGACTGGCGGGTAGGTAGGATGAATTATAAAGAGATTAGAGACTCTGGAGGTGAATATTGGTGTGTGAACGTGTGTGTCACACATACACACAAGGTCTCACTCACTTCTCTGTGTAAATATGTTGACCATTGCATCAATGATTAAAGACACATTGACTCTATTTCCACACTCCACTGGTATTTGCTCTGAAATGAACAGTCCTTGAATGGTTAATTGTTGGACTTGGCACATTACCTGAGTCTTGTACAACAGTAATAAAAGGTGTTGCCAATTCTAAGAATGAGTGTGTGTGTGTGTGTGAGAGAGAGAGAGAGACTCTGGGTGCACATTTGCTTGCATATCTGTTTCTTGTGATTGTGCAAATTAGTATGTTAAATTTGTGTGTGTGGGGGGGGTGGTATGTATTCTCCCCTTCTCTGAACGTGTGTGTCTTTGAATGTGTTTGAAGACGAGGTCTTCGTGTCTGCCTGTGTGTGTGTTCTGCTCGGCTGTGCTCTCCCGCTGCAGCTGCACCGACGAGGGACTCAGGTAGCGTCTGCAGGGAGCTAAAGCCTGACGTAATGCAGCAGGAATCTCCTTCCCAGAAGAGCCAAGTTCCCACTGCAGCCAGCGAAATAATGTAGCGTGCGCGTGTGTGTGCGTGTGTATATTGAGTGTGCCTGTGTGTGTGTGTGAGCTTGTGTATATGTATACGTGCTTCAGCCGAATACACACCACACATCAGTGGCTCAGTGCAGGGACTCTCCTCTCCTCATGCAGAGAGAGGAATTGCTTTCAGCTGTTTTATAAGCTGCCGGGAGAAAGAAAGAACTGAGTTACAGCACGTTCCTGTAGACATTCAGTTGTGCGCCTTTCAATACTGAACGCTGCAGATAGCTTAAATGGGATTGAAGTCTGTTTGTGCCGCCCTATTAGGCTTGCCACAGATCCCCATTAAGCAGATGTCTCTTTCAAAAGGCAACCTTTAGTGAATTTGCAGAGAGCAGGAAAGTAGAGGTTTTGAGATGTTTTCATGTGAGAGTTACTGGGAAATACATGCAGTGGACAGCTCCATGTACGTCAGGTCATACCTGGCATTAGAATGCATCTCCACATGCGTTTCAAGTGATTCTGATTCTCACTCCCTCTCTGTATGCAAATGGTCGCATACATCATTTCTGTTTGCAGCGACCACATGCAGTGTTTGTAACCTGAATTTTATGAATTTACTGTTTACCAAACCACAAATTGATTTAGGTTGGAAAAATGATAAATACCACTGGAGTGGAGTGTTTCTCGAGGCTGGGCTTCACTAATCACTGTACAAAACCTCCACAACTTTCTAACTTTATTCACTCAATTTGGAGAAACGGGAACATATTTCATAGAAAAAATATTTCTTGCTCAACCCCCCGTGTTCGCACTTATTCTAAACAAAATGTAGCCGTGCAGCAGGACTGTGAACTGCTGTTGTAGAAAATCACCTGCAGCTGGACAGTTGATTCCTGATTACCATTATTGAGACATAGAGAAGGAGTCTGTTTCATTACATACTGTGTATTTCAATTTGTGAACACACTCCCTGATAGACACGCACATACCTGCTAAAAATCCAGATTTTGGCGAGAATTCCTAGGAAACGCCAGCTTTCAGCACTGGCTTTATGCGGACGGAAGGCCAAATCTGAAATGAAATTCAGATTTAGCTGTTTTGTGTGGACAAGATTTAGAGCTCTAAACCCACTTTATTAAGCTTCTTATATCAGAGCGGTGCCAAAATAAAACTTTTGCCTTTTATCCTGGATCATGATGTATTTGACGTGAAAATTTGCTTTGCGTTTCCAATTAGTGATCGGGAGCACGCTTAAATGATCAAGTTTTAGCGGTGTGGAGAGCTTCAAACACTCTCCTTCACTATATCAAAAGCTTATGTGTACAAACTAAAGGACTATATGCATCTCCTCCACTACTGGATACCTGTGCAGGTCACAGGGCAGTACCAAAGACTTGGTATATATTGGCGGTGACTTTAAACAAACCCTTTACTGTCAAATCCATGTTCTCATGCAGCTGTATCATTCACCGATGATGAGAAGGAGCAGCTGAGAAAATTCACCAACCGCTCCTACCTGCTGGACAAGACGTCCCGTTACCAAGTGTGGCTCAGTCTTGTGGACATCCTGCTGGCTTATTCTTATGAAGTTCGCTCTACAGAGGGAGAGCACAATGTGAGTGAGTGTGTGTATGTGTGACTCCTCCTGAGCAGCACTTAGCCTTGGATGACAAAGCCCTCTATCCTCAAATCCTTTAGACCCCCTTCCATTTCATTCAGAGCCTTAAGAGATTACCAGCAGATCCGAGAGCTCAGTCCAGGCCTCTTTGTGTCACTCCTCTAAGGTAGCTGCAGAAAGGCAAGGTGAGCGAAGCTGATTTCATTGTTAAAGACAATTCACAGCATGTGTGAAATACTGGAGATACTTGATACAGCAGAATGTTGAACTCAAGCCCAGCTACGAAAACCTCTATCAAATGTGAGCATTTTAATTTCCATTTGGGATATTATAATATGGAGAGAGTCTAGTCCCCTAGTTTATTTCAAATTGTTTGTAGCCTGCTCTTTTCCGGGAACAGAAATATAAACGGCAACTATCCATGCCTTTGTTCAAGCATTATTGATCGTACTGCATGTTCTTGTTTATATTTCCTGTGGGTTATTGTTGTGATGGTAAGTGGTCGCCTTCTTCCCTGCAGGTAGAGTCACCGTGGACTATCCGAAAACTCAGCGGGACTCTCTGCTGGCTGGAGGTGAGTTAGTTGTTGCACAAGAAATAAGATGAGCTGAAGTGAATGATTTATGCTCACATGCATATTTATTTGTTTATTTAAGAGGGACAGTGCACCTAATTTAACATGACTGTAAATGTGCCAGAGCACTAGTCAAAGACTGGCAAAGAGTCCCAGGTCAGATGTCCACTGACTCCTTGCCTTTAAGGGGAACTCCATGCAGGAGTTCAGAGCATACATACTTTTTATATTTCATGATGCAATGAATGGATCTGCTTCTGTTTCCCCCTCTTCATGTCTCTACTTTTGCCACCTCTAAATATGTCCTCCTGTTTTACGATGCAACTGACCAGCAGCCTCAACCCCTTGCGCTTTTGAAGTTGTCTGTGGACAGACTAACAGATGTAACTGGTTTCCATCAAGTTACAGATTTATTGTTAGTACATGTTGACAGATCTTGTTGCCAGCCTGCCGTGAGAGAGAGCTGGCATGTCACTATTCCTGACCAAGCAAACATGGCCGGAAGTTCTTTATCAACCATTCTTGATATTCGTGATACCTTTCCGATTGGGTCCCTCTTGCCAGTAAAATCTGGAAACTGAGCTTGTTCTCTATTCGAGTGTTGAAGAAAGTTTTCTTGGCTGCTTATTTAATTTTATGAAATCCCAAAATTTAAAAAAGGACCAAATGAAGTTGTGATTCTTTCCCATCCTTAATATCAACTAGCCAGCAAACACACAAATGCTAAAGTAGGGTGAGATTTCGATTGAAATGTAGCCTAGTCAGCCCCAAACTTTTTGGCAAAAGTCCAGCAGAGTTAAGAGATATACTCTTATTAATTAAATTCTCACAGAGGCAATTCTTTTGTTCTTCAAGTTTATTCTTCTACTGCTTGTGAGGCAAAGTTATTTAATAATGCAGGTATATCTTGTCTTTTTATAGAACTACATAAGAAGAGTAAACAATGGACGAGGAGTTGTCTACTTTATCCATTATTTTCTTCAGGTTGCATTTCAGACTTTCCGACAAACTTTGTAAAATCAGTGCATTGAACTGTGAACTTTATAAAAGTACTAACAATGTGAATATGACAAAGGATGTCAAAGCTTAAAAAAAGTAGTTTGGCTTGTCTTTGATTATCCTCTTGTAATCCTTAGACTTGCAGTTGCCTCTGATTGTAGCTCAGCAGCAGTCATTGAACAAACCTGTTTTGACTGGCGGGTAGGTAGGATGAATTATAAAGAGATTAGAGACTCTGGAGGTGAATATTGGTGTGTGTGTGTGTGTGGTGTGTGTGTGTGTGTGGGTGTGTGTGTGTGTGTGTGTGTGTGTGTGAGAGATCTGTCTGCTCTCAACCTGCCACTAGACAATCACATGAGTGTGTGATGTGCTTGACTGGCACAAACTTGTGTCAAACTGGGTTCCATTTAAGGTTGGGTAATATGACGGTATATATTGCACAGGCTATTTAGCAAATCAGGGCTGGATTCTCACTTGATCTTGTGTGAAAAAAATCCAGATTTCCAGATGCCTTTGAATTTATTTCAGGATAACCCCTTGAGATGTATCATCTCATTTTCAAAGGGGTCCTGCAGCATACATGCATAGACACAAAATTAACCACACATATACAAACACAGACATATATACAAAACAAAAACTCGCTTACCTGCCCTTACCCCCACAATTAACATAGCACATATAATAAAGTATACTGACAAATAATCAGCCGAGTGCATTAAATAACCAATACGTCATTTATCAAATGCCTTATGACAAAATGTAACATGCAGGATAACGTCACATCTCACATAGGAATGTCCAAAGAAAATCAAGATAAAGAGAATGAAGACAAAAAAAGTCATATATATAATATATATATATTTTCTACATAAACCATTTATATGTAATACCATTGGTATTCTTAATAACAAGAGCATGTAGTTTTAAGAAAAGAAAAAAGGGACAAAATGTGGAAATAGATCTCAGAAAAAGAGGAAGGTTATTCCAGTCTTGAGGGGCCTTATATTGAAATGCTCTCCTACCAGCTACAGAAAACGACCTTGGTACCGTAAAATTTGTTGGACATTGGAGTTGTCTAAGTGAGTATGTCGAGCACTAAGGTATTAAGTGCTATTTAAGGTATGCAGGACAATTGAAATAAACACATTTGAAGATAAACAGAATCCAGTGGTAATCCCTTCATGGTTTAGGTTGCAGCCAGTTTAATGAGTCATACATAAGACAATGATGAGTTTTAAATGGACAGTTTAGTATAAATCTGCAAAGGGAATTGAATACAACATTAAGAGGTCTAAGATTGGACTCAAAGGTATTCGTGTAGACTATGTCTGCATAATCAGTGATTGGTATTACCAGTTGAGAAATAGAAATAGAAATAATTTTTCTCTGACTTGAGTTGAAAAACAATTGATTGATCTGTACAGAGTGTTAAGGCATCCATATACTTTCCTAATGATATTGTCAATGTGTATCTTAAAGGCAAGGATGGAGTCAAGCCAAAGGCCCAAATATTTAAATTCCTCCACATTCTGCATAAGGGATCCATCTAAAAACTATTTCAAAACAAGAAGCACAACGGCGATTTTGTATTGTGGAAAACACCATGCAGCAGGATTTCTTCATGTTCAACAGAAGTTTATTAATGAACTGCCACTGTTGTACTTTATCAAAGTCGGATTGAAGAGTTCCTTGAACTTGCAGCAAATCACGGTCAGAGGTATGGATGACAGTGCCCTCAGCATAAAGCTCTAAATTACAATGAGAACAAACTTGTGCCAGGTCATTGATAAAGATCGAGCAAAGTAAGGGGCCTAAAGTTGAGCCTTGAGGAACACCTTTATCAACAATTAAATAGTCTGACTGGAATCCTTGGTAAACAACACACTGACGTCTATTATGCAAATAGGAATTAAACCAGAGCACAGCATGTTTATTCAAACCAATAGAGTAAAGCTTATCCAGTCGAAAGTAATGGTCAACCATATCGAAGGCCTTTGAGAGATCAATGAAAGCAGCACCAATAAAATGACCTTTGCAAGGTAAGTATTTGAGCAGCAGGACTGCTTACTGTGAGAGTGACAGTTGGTGGTGGTAAAGCACCACTATGCTGGTTTGCCAACCGCTGCAGAAGAAGAGAGTGACAAGAAAACAAATTTTTAATATGTAGCAAATTAAAGAAGAAAATAATAATGTGACGAAGTACGCTATGGTTTCTTAAAACCATTTCTTAATTGAATTTAGAGAACAGTTACTGTATTGTGATGTATAGCGTTAACTGTGATATAAAATGACCATGATGACATTATTTTGACAGAACAATCGCACTCGGTTTGCCCACTACACCTTTATTCTGTTCTGGCGCAGTGGATAAGACACATGCCTTTGGTGTGAGAGACCCAGGTTCAATTCCCCACTGTGACACATCCACCAATGTGTCCCTGGCCAAGACACTTAACCTGTCATTGCTCCAGATAGATATCTAGATAAATGAAAATGTTGATTTCTTTATCACCTACTTTAGTTGTGATATATAGTAAAACACACATTTCAGGCGTTCTCATGCTTAAGTTTTTGTTTTCTAGTCGACTGCCTAAGTATAAAATGGTGATTTATTGTATTAAGATAAAATCACATTTATTCGTCAGTGTAAACATACATACAAATCAATTTTGACTCTGGTGGTCTGATGCAAGAAGCAGGTTCACTGAGTAATCCTGCTGCTTTGCTGATCAAAATCAAGAACTGGAGCAGGTCTTTCTGCATCAGACCTTGTTTCAGATTTGAGGAGGCCCCACATTTTTAGTCACCAAAGTTATCCAGATTACTCTGTAAAAAAGGTTATTTGAACTGGGCCATGTATTATAAGAACAATGTATTGACTAGGGGTGTGACGAGACATTTAACCCACAAGATCGAGACGAGATTTTTGCACAATTTAAAAAAAATCTTCAGAGCTGAATTATATTGTTAAAAGATTAAACACTTTAATTCCTGCATTCCGATGAATTTTATGGTGAAAATATTTTCATTTATGTAAAGAGAAACATATAATTCAGGTGGCAGGTGACAATTCAAAGTCTTTAGCCTAACTATAACAGAATATAAGTCAGTGCAGCTCTCAGTCATTCAGTGTTGCTATCAGATGTGTTTCTCCTGTAGATATACTTTTCTCATGCACCGTAATATCATCCCTGCTCAGTCATGATTTAGTCTTCACTCCTCTTTGTCTCTTTGTTTGAGGAATTAATCTCTTTAAATGTGACTGTGGCACCTTTTCACCTCAATGATAAATTAATTCATTTTAAGTTATAAACTCCTGGACTTTAATAGCTCCTGTAATTCAGCAGCTTTCTGCTCATGTTCAAATCTCATCATTTAATGAGTCCACATACCCTATACTCTGCTGTGCAATACGTTATTGATCCGCTGGTAGTAACGCTATCCCCTTCTGACTGTTTTACCGAAGCAGTTTGGGACTGCTTGTTGCATGTGAAACCGAAAGTAAAGGAAACAATTCTGATCAGGCACTTCTATCTTTCCGTTTATTCATTAGTATTTCACTGCGTGAGATAATTAATGTATGGCTCGACAGCATGTGAAAATGTCAATTGCGTGAGTCTCACAAGACTGCTTTTTACCTGACGAGAATTTTCATCATAATTTAATCTCGCGATATCTCATGGTACGAGATCTCGAATCAGAGCTGAAGTAAATTCACAAAGCTTCATTCTAGAAAACAAAACATCATATTTCACGTCATAGTTGCTGAATTTCACCCTTAATTGAGACACAGAATTAAAAGTAAATTGATTTAAGCCGCAGATTGTGTTTTCAATTTTCTTAACACTATGATGTTTTGCTTCCACTCACCATTACCGATGCACAGAACAGTATTTTAAACTCTATGACTAGAATTTTTCTTTCCAAAATGCATCTTGTGAATCGTAGTTATTATCCACCGAAATCGCTCCTTCCACATAACAACTCCATCTCTGCAGCCAAGGTAGTCCTGAAGTGTTGTCACAGATGTCGTCAGTGTAGTGCTTATTACAGTCCCGTGACAGCCAGAGATACCCAGTTTCTTTTATTTTTATGTCCAAGCATTTGATTTAGTGATTGCTGTTGGGATGTAAAGAGAATTTTAACAAAAACAACACAAATACCCCAGCTTTAATGAAGGTTATATCACTTCAGTTTCTCTTTTGCATTTTATTTTGTTGCTGGTGGTGCTCAAGGAGGGTTGTGGGTTGTTGTTGCCTGTTGTTTCACACTTTCAGTGGCAACAGTTGGGCATGAACGCATAGATTTGACTAGCTGTTTATTAATGTTAGGGACACACATGAGTTCACAATACACTAGAAGTGTGTCCCAGAGCACCGACAAATACTCCTTGAGTGATAAGATCCCAGAGTGTTGTCGTTAGTTGTTGGGCCATGCACACATGATCCCCACTTGTGAACAAATCACCGAAGTTGCATTTTATTGCTAATTATAAACAAGCCAGTGAGGCTGCTTGGAGGAGTTTAGTTACCTAGACCTTGACCACAGTTTGAGAGTACTCTTCCTGCTGTGGTGACAGTGGAGTAAAGAACAGTCTTCACCTGCCTGGCAGCCCTTTACTGCTCGTCAGTCAGTCAGCAGCGCTGTCAGCTCCAATTGACAGGCCACCCCGCTCTCTGCCTCCCACTCCTCCTCCTCCTTCTCCTCTTTTCTTCACCCTGTGCTCTACAATAGATTCCTCTCTGTCTTTGACTGCCTGCCTGTCTGTGTGTTGTCTGCTTCCTCACTCTATTCTCCCTCTCTGCTGTCTCTTTTTTATTCGCTTACTGTCTATCTCTCTTGCCTCGCTTGTTCTCCTTCCCCCCCCTACCACCTCATCCCGCCCCCATCCCCTCCTCCCTCCATCTGCTGCATGTTTACTTGTCCTCAGTCGACTGCACTGGTATGACTGTGAGTTGTCCCCCCCGGAGCTGCAGACCTTATTTACACTCCTGCTAAACAAGCCCAAGGGAGAGCATGATCCCCAATGACACGCACTCGCAAGCTCGCAACACATCCTTAACAAGCCACAGAGAAAAGAAGACAAAGAAACACAGGATAAGAATCTCTGTTTCTGTCTCCAGGCTGTGTGTCCATTAGTGCAGAGAAAATCTGAGAGTGAAGGCAGTGATTAAAGAGAAGCAGCAATTAACAGGCCAGGCCCGCAGAGGTGTTTAAGAGTTGTGAGCCCCTATTTTGGCAGCTCTATAAATGAGGAGTTGTTAGGAGTAATTAGCACACCAGTGACTGCAGTGAACACCAATGGGAGCTGGTGTTTAACCTAAGAAAATCCACACCTTTTAATATCAGTTGCATCTTTGTGTCTATCTCCGTTTCCTTCTCTTTTTAAATAAAATCAATTTTTGTGCCGGATAGCTTTCTGAGTCTCATGTTCTCTGTTTTGCAGACGTACAGCTCCTTACAAGATGTCCTGGTGTCATTTGGACGGAGGGTTTTGTGCTACCCTCTGTACAGACACTTTGCCATGGCCTCTGCGGCTATTCGTGACACAACTAAGATTTTGCAGTCAGGTGAGTCCCCTAGAAGCACCACAACACCAAACCCCCTACACACATTGTGACTGTAAGCTGCCAAAAAGCCTGACTGGCAGCATGCTTTTGTGGTTGATGGTTGAGCATAAAGAACCTGCTGGACAGACACAAGCCCTTTTTACACAGAGATCCCGCAATACTGCTGTTAAGAAAATCCAAACAACGCCGGCGTGATGCTGGCCCAGTGTGTGATTTTTAGATAGCATGCCGGCATATTTCCACTGCATTGTACAGCTCAACTCGACTCTACTTGCTTTGAGGTGCCTCTACTTCATTTTCCACTGCAGATGGTTGACATACCCCAGCTGATTGTTTTTACATTTTATAGAGAACGGCGATGCTGAATAACTGTGCAACTATCCCACCTTGAACAAGGTGTGTAAAAGGGGCTACAGTGTTTGGAGAAAGGTGTTCATGAGCATAATACGGCTTGTGTTTGAAAGTAATATTCCTACAGCTAAGCGAGAGTGTGGCCTAGCTCCCACCTCCTCGGGGAGCAAAATGTGGATTAGTCGAGAACGGACTGTTGACTTTGATATCTCAAAGCCCAGAGTAATCTTTAAATCAAAAGCCCCCGCGGACAGATGAATCTCAGCAGTGTAAACACACTCAGGATGTGTGAGGGCTGAGATTATCCAGCTTGTGATGATTTTAACGCTGGCAAATGACAGTAAATTAAAGGCCTTTTAAGCTCCAGATTAGCATTTCCATGCCTCATTAAGTAGGAAGATGGGTTGATCAGGAGAGCCAGGGAAACAGCAGTTGGAGTCACTCTTTCTCCTCACCTTCTTTCTCTTACCTTTTTCTCCCATAACAAGATTTCTCATGTTCATCCCGAGCCTGGAAATTGTTCTGGCGCTTTCTGACAGCTCATACAACATCGTACTCTGGCTCTTCTTTCTCCAAAAACAGCCTAGTGAGATGAGGCTCTGTTTATTTGTGTCAATGTATTATGGGGGGAAAAAAGCAAATTATTTCACTATTATTTTTCAGAATCGCTCACGACTCATAACCTTCATTACTTGCAAGCATTAGGGAAGTCTGAGTTTTAGGGCTTTTCCTTAATGAACTGTAACGCTACAGTAATTTGGCCTGGCGTGTGTCTGAGGGTGTGTTTCCTCCCAGCATTACTTTACACACTAATTAATTTGTCAGGATAAAGCAAATGGAAATGCATGCTCCATGTTTGAGGCACTTCATTTAAGTGGCTATGAAAGCAAACATTCATAGGTATTAGTAAAACAAACCCATTAATGTCAGCACACAGGTTAAGGCCTCAGAGGAAATGTTATCTGGGGGTAAATATTTGAGCAGCCCTCTGGCAGTGTTGCGAGTATTCTCAAGGATCTCCTCCACCTGCTCCCTAAGTGGCTGTAACTAGAGAGCTACTGGGCAGGGTACAGACGAGTGGAGAGGTCTGGAGTTAGCAAGTGTGGAGGAGGATCTCTGGGTCATGTTTCTGTTGTAACTGGACTGACAAGACAAGAAATGTCAGAAGTGGTCCCCTCTGTTACAGATCTATCCACCACGCATCTCTGCTGTCATTCCTTTGGGGAAATTCTGTGTGGGTCAGGCATGAAAAGTGTGGGAATTGAATGTGTGGAAGTCCAATTTTAGGTCAAATAAGCACTCTGACCTAGTAAAGTAATGACATTTTATAACCAAGGTAGAGTGTGAACACTTCAGGTTGAGAGCACTGATGGTCTTTTTATATTTGGCCAGATGCATGGATTGTGTGTGAATCTGACAGAGGAAAAAAGGAAAAGACTGAATGAGAGGGAAAGTATGCTGATATTGATTGCTATACTGTACATTTCTTTAAACTAGATGCACCGAACTGCATTGAACTAGATTGTTATGTCAGTGGGCAGTTCTGTCCTGGCTCAATTGCCCTGGCAGATTAGAGCTGACACTGGATGAAGATGTGCCTCTCCTGCCTTTCAAGCACATCATTGTCAGTGGCAACATCAGACAAATGTAGAACTCTTCCTGCTGCTTTTCCATATTTCTGAAAGCCTCTGTTATTGTTCTCAGAAACTGAAAAGTGAGAAGAGGGAATATACTACTATAAAAAAATACACATTTCTGGAGAGTACAATTATGGAGATCTCTTATATTATTTATATCATCAATGGAAGCACTAGCCCAGGCAGTAAGGCAGTCTTCAATCATTAAACCAATAAGAATATGTTCTACTCATTATCGCATTTCTCTCTTTGTAGATGATGTACTTTTATTTTTGTCTGAAGTGCTGCTGTCCTTCCCTGGTATACTTTGAAAAAGTTTAGCTTCCTTCAAGTTTCCAAACTCAACTGGACAAAACATATATTCTTTAGAAAAAACGGTGACAAAGAATTCTACTCAAACATGATGAGATATGGGTGGATTGTGTGGATTACCCAGTTCCCTATCAGCCAGAATTTCAATAATTAAAATGAATGTTCCACCTTCAATAGATTTGTTACCCTTCCATATTATCTTTGTCCCTTCCCCCCAAATACTGAGAACATTTACATAAAATAATAATCTTAGTTCATATGGAAGTGCAAACATCCCAAAATGAAAATAAAAAACTTTACAGCAAGGGGGGAAGAGTCTGGAAATTTGGTGGTTCCTGATATCAATCTATACACTACACATTACATCTTCATCCATTATATAGCTGGTTCAGTGATGATAAATCTGTTCTATGACTTGGAGGAATGTATGATCCAATTATAGCACATATTAAAAATACAGTATTTGGTGCAAGAGTAGCATATGACACATGTATCATGTTATGTATTTAATATTATACAGATTCCATGCACTCTTTGTTATGTATTGATCTCTATATTGTCAGTAAAATGTTTGATTATATTATGAATCCGTAAACCACAGAAACAATAGGCATGCAATATGCAAGGGACTTAATGTGACTTTACTGCCTTTGCAGTTTTTGGAATCTCTACATTCTTTGTCCAGAAGACACAGCAGGCTTTGTTTTTGGTCCATTTCACACCCACCCCTACATCTATGCGAGCCTGCTCATTCAGCATGAAGGCATTACTGTTGGACATGGACTGTTGTGCACATTTGGATCACACATACTTCCCCGCAAGGACAAGATAAATTATTAATTTATCTTAAAGGTTAAGGATGATTTTATTTTGTATCAAGGCAACTGTGGCTGCAGGGCAAATCATGTTTTGAGGGGCATTAGGGCAAACTGAGGGGGCACAGAGGCCATGACTATTCCTGCCCTGCTGCATTGGATCCCATGCTTAGATGAGAACTAAATGTTTGTTTAAGGTTTTCCTCACTGCGAGTGCACTGTTTATTTTGACTGGGCTAAATGATAGCTAAAATGATTTCCATATACATATTTCGAAGTGCAGGTGTCAACCATTAACCATGTCATATGCACTGAAACAAAAAGCTCCTACCATTTGATGAATGAACATGTTTGATAGTTTACTTACTTTAGCTGGCAAATTATGTGTTCAAATCATGATTAAGTTTAATTTTCGGTAATTAATTGCATACTGCATCGCATGCTGAAAGATACAAGGAATATTAAACTTAAGACACAGTTGAAATTGACTCAAATCCAGATATTTTTATGTACTTGTGTATATACAGTATGTATTAACACACTACTATGTAGTGCTGTGTGGTTATAGTGGGTGTAAGCAAAACTCTGGGGTCCCCAAGGAGCACATATTTCCTCACCACCATGTACTGCATGTGGTATCTAGCTGTGCAGAGAATTGCCGTTTTAAGTTTTTGCCATGGAGGTGAATGGAATTTTGTTCATAGTGCTCAAAACATCAAAACATTTACAAAAAGGAAAATTATCTTTGACTAGAGACATTTGTATTTAGCCTAAGGGGGCAATAAAGTTACCTCTCAAATTGTTTAGTTTATTAGACTGTAATTATTAGTATTACAGTATCACAAGTTATTTGTTCATCTATAGCATGTTTTGACTCCTAATTCTTAGAAATCCAAATTAAGCATAAGCCCAGTAGTGTCAAATTTGTCTGGGTGGGGCATTTCCAAAGTTTTGCGAAGGCCGAGTCAAACAGCAGGCGTCCATCAGCTAGTTTGTTGTTGTGTGTTATTGATCGAGGCAGCGGTAGACCAAAGAGATAAAATTACTGTTTTTGGCGAGGGAGTCTGGTTGCTTTAATGAGAGTGACATAGCAACTGTTTCTGGTTAAACAAAAATGATCTTACTCATGGAAAAAACATCTATCTCTGTAAGGATCCTTTCCATCATGTTGTCAGACACTTAAAATAACAATCTGAGCCTGTCAGTGACAAAAACACACACTTTAGTGAACCTAGTTTGACGGGGCGCAGCTTGCCGCAAGGATTCCGTTGCAGCCTTGTTTTGGCGCTGCTGTGCGCTCTCTTTTGTTGCACTTAGTCACAATAGACACAAAAACATGGCAAAATAAGGTCCCGGTCAAAACAATACTGAAATTACCCTTTAAGCTGTAAGTCAGATTGGTTGATAAATCTATACATTAATGATATGATTGCAACATTACCCAAGAAAGCAAACAAGAAAAGCAACCAAACGTTATGGTTAGAAAGCTTTATTTTATTTCTATTCAAGATCAGACAGAATTTTTAGAGCAATATTTTGTTGAGTGCTGGACAACACAGGGCATTTTAAAGCTTTAACCTGTGCAGTTAAGTGGCTTTTATTGATTTTGGTGCTGTGCACGGTTGGAAAAACCCTCCAGTTCACTACCTTGCTGGATTGATTTATTTATGTCTGTCAATTTTTAAATCTGGCCTTCAGGTTTGTCAGATCACAAGCAAAATGGATTCAGATTAGGACTATAATGATGCAAACAATAGCTGAATGGAGAGACGGCTGTCAAGTGGAAAATCATTAAAAACATTCAGTGTTATTTTTGACACATCAAGGCAAACAGATTTCTAACAGAAACTCTGAGCAGAGCTGCCATTAAATTGACTGAATTAATACCAAAAATAGAGATGTCTTTGTCTCAGATGAACCACTTCTTAACCAGGAACCCTTCTTAAAGTGTATGGATCAAATTACTCTTCAGCTCGCTCGGGATTTTCCTCTGACCCTGTACCTTGGCTTTTATGTATGGAACAACGGCTGCAAGCCTTTCGATGCATGCTGTGTCTGCCAGCAGCTGGAGTGCATTGTCATCCATAGTACTGAGCGCAAATAACACTGTTTTTCCATTTGCCTGCCACGGTGTGTTCCTGTGCCCAGGGAAAGCCTGTGTCCTCAAATGCCTGCTGGATATTCACAAAGTCTTCAGAGAGAACGACCCGGCCTACATACTGAACGATCTGTACATCACAGACTACTGCATCTGGATCCAGAGGGTCAAGTAAGTTCACACTCCACACGCATCAGATACCTTCATCTTCAGAGAATTACCTTCTGAGCCAAGGGAAGTGCCACTCAGCCCCTGTAATGCATCAGTGCTTTAAAGTATTGGACGAGTCATTTGTCACAGCAGGGCCAATTGAACGATCAAGCCAGCGAGAGGTGCAATTTCCCTTGTCTGCACTATCATGTGTCAAAAGCACCATCAGTAAGTCTTAGAAGAGCCAGCTGCACTCAGCACATTCTCTCTGCATGAAACTTTTAAGAGTGCACATGTGTGTGCTGGGGCTTCTCATGTTTTCCGTGGGTGTAGCCTTTCACTAGTATTGCCAACTAAACATGCACAATCTGCACTTTTTCTCCAAATGATATGGGTTTGATGGCTCTCTCCTCTTCCTCGTACATATTTCACAATTACTTACACATTTCAAATGTGAGCCTGCAAGCACATTACTCAGTAATGAGCTCTGTTTTACTCTTGGCCAGGGTTCAGCCAAGTGGTGTGCTCGTCTGGAAAAAGCCCAGATGAAAAATGTGTGCCTGATGTTGTAGGCTCTGCGCCCAGATGCAGACACGATAAAAGGTCTGAGGGGATTTAGTGCCCCCTCCTTCCATGTCCTCACATTCTCATTTCTACATTTTTCCAGCAGAAGTCTTGAAATTCTGCTCTTAAAAATGCTGCGGATGCCGGAATGGGTGGGAAAAAGGCTAGGTTTATGCTTGTGCACTTGTGCTTTTAAATGCTCTCTATCTTGCTGTGTAGACACATGGAGCTTCTGAAGCCCTGTCAATTCAATGAAAAACTCAATCTGTCTCTTCCTAGCTGAGGGGCACCAGAGCAGCCCCCCCCCACCCCCAAACACACACTCTTTTCCTCCGCTGTACATTGGAACTAAATGTCAGCTTGACCTAACACGCTGACTCCTACTCGCCTCGCATCGATCATTAAATGGATTAGCCGCTGCTCTCGTAGCACTGACGTGTGATTGAATTGTTACTTTTCCCTTTTCTGTTTCCTGCCAAGTAAAGTGATGTTTACAGGTTTTTTTTTTATCCTCTCAGATAAGCTGTCATGTTGTGAAAATGACATTTGGATTAGTAAAACCACTCCTGTCACCTCCAGCCACTTGAAAGAGCAACCAGGCATGCATTGCTTTTTGTTTCAGTATGGGTTGCTTGCTCCCCGCTCAATAGAAATTCCATACAATCTTCACTTGTGGTTTCTGAAACTATGTTCCCATGTTTGGAGCATAGTATTAGAAGGAGCCTGCAGTCAAATGCAAAGCAGCGAAGTAGAGCTACGCCTGTTCTCTAAGGTTTGAAACAATCGCAGTTTCCACAGACCAACCTCCGCTATCATACGTGCAGTCTGTTGTGGCAGCCCTTTTGTGTCGTCTGACAGGTTTTATGACGGATCGTGTAGGCATTGTTTTCTTCAGTGCAAGATATTCCCCCGCACAGGATTTGTCATCCTCCACTAAGTGAGTCATCTCTGGGAGCTGAGCGGTAAAATGAGATGTAATCTATACCCCTCCGGTGCAATCCCTGTATCTTGTCACTCCCCGCCGCCAACGAGGCAGACAAGATCAGCTGCGCATGATGGACATGGCGATTAATGGATGTTTGCTGGCTGGGGGGTTGATTTATTTAATCTCCTCGCTGTCCCACATGCATTTCTACTCTAAAGTTCCTCTGACTGCCGAGACATCGGCCTCAGATTTACAACCTCGTAAAGACTTCACCATGATTTAAGCCACAGGGTAGGCACTCCCTTTTACTCTCACACACACAGTCAGAGCAGAACCCTGGGCACTGAAATCACGAGTGCAAACTCAAAGCAAATTGCGCTTCACATTGTCTCAGTGATGTGAAAGTTTTCTTTTTTGTGCCGCCTTGGTCACCATACCAGAATTTAACACTCACTTCCTTTGTGGAAACTGTTTAAACTTCACCTTTACACACCCATCCAATCCCAATTATCTCCAAATTGTTGGCAGAGAGTATTATTCCAAATGGAGCAGCAGCCTCTCCAGCCCATTAGTTTCGGGGTCTTTCCCTTTTTATCAAAATGCTTGGAGAGAGGCCAACGTAGATTCACGGCATCAAGCACAGACAAAGCTTATAAGCTTGGTGTAGTGTTACATTACCTCTGTTAAAAAGAAGGGCTAAAACTTCCTTTTTCAGCACTGGTTCACGTGCAACCACCCACCCTTATTAATTGGGTCAGTTAGATTGTAGCAGAAAAAAACATGGCAGCATACAAGTGATGTGCTCCAGGGTTAGTCTGAGAGGAGGGAAGTGAGCTGAGATTCCAGATGAAGTCATTGGTGGAAAGTGTTTTTTCTTCTTTCGCTTTGTGAAATCCATTTGAGACTTGTCTATAAAATGCGTGAATTGAACAATCAAATTTGCAAGGAATGTTTTAGGGATAAACTGAGTTGCACCATAACAGCTGAATTCAAATAATTGAGTTGAATGGTACATGGGTGTTGTTTTCACTAAAGCAGACCATCCTTTTTGCTCCTGGATTTCTGCATACTTTCTTCCTCCCTTGTCTCATTCTTCCTCAGCATTGTGTGCATGACAGTGGCTATTGGAGAGTGTCGGCAGCTCTGACTGTGGCTCCCCCCCTCCCCCCCCCGCAGGGAAATGCATCTGGAGCTCCAACAACTGGGTATAACTCGAGGGCAACGAGGTCAAGCACGAGGTCAGCATGTCAGCAAAGACCTGCGGTCAAAAGTCTTGACAAAGTACACACCCCCACCCCTACCCCTGTTAAGCCTGACTGGTCAATTCACCTCTGTACACCTCTTTGTGTGATTGAGAAGCACAGGGCACTTCTCATCGGGCACTTGGGATAGGCATTTTCATTTTAATTGTGCTCGGGGCTTTCCTGGAGAATTAACATTAGGTGTTGCAGGCTGTTTCTGTGGTGTGATGCTCCATGTGTGGAAGAAATTGTCCTGTAGCCAAGCCTGGCAGCTTCCTGGTGTCCCCCCTCAAACACACATCTGATGTGACAGCCAGATGTTCGCTGGGAAGGACTTCCCTGGAACCACCAGGCAGTGTCACTGTCAAGCTGTCAAATGCCCATCTTGAAGTCTTTGAAACAGATAATGGAGCTGCTTTATCTGGTGTTAGCCTCAGCACTGAAGGAGATTCTAGAGGCCCCGCTGGGGAGAACAAAGACACAAATGTCTCTCAGCTAACAGGGATAAGGAGTACAGATTTCCTCCCAGCAGGAGGCCACTCCAGCTTTTTGTCTTGAGTACACAAGCTCATCTTAAACACAGACTTACACACTGTGTTTGCATAATTTCTTCAATCCATGTTTGGAGTGTCCACTCTAGTTATTACAGTGGATTGTAGTGTAGGGATTTTTTCTGTCTTTTAAGCTTCAAAGACCTGCGCATCTAAACAGAAGCTAAAGAACTGCTGAATATTGTAAATTCTTTCGCTTTATGAGAAATAAACGGAAAAAAGTTTGTAGTGAAGATCCCACATTCCCATCAGTAGCGAACTCAAGCCTGAACAATTGAGCTTTTCAAGCTGCAGTGTTAAAACAACAACTTTGAAATCCAAGCCTGAGGGCTTTGACATTTTTTAAGCACAGACCAACCCAAAACCTGCAATGGGGAAGATAGTAAATGATTATAAACTTAAATGATGATTTGGGATATACAAGACGACCATGTCAGTTTTAGGCTTGTTAAGAATTCTCCTTATCCTCCACCAAACCCAAAATACCATTTTACTCAACAAGGAAAGAGTTGAGACCTGGGAACATGGCTGCATCAGGTCAGGAACACAAGGAGTCAGTCAATAATAAAATAAGCAGCGCAAAAATTTCTGTACGTTTAACAGACAATTAGACAATCAGCGCCCTCAGCTATGCAGTTGCTGAGTTAACGGTTATCATAACTCATAGGTATAGCTATGAAAAACAAAATTCTCCATGAAAATGTCACACCTCATCAACAGATATTTATGATATATCAGCATTTTTACAGAACAATAAGTCTTTCATAGGCAGCTATAAGTCTGAACATGGCGTGTTAAATAAATACATCTGTGTTTCTCGTTTCTGCAATCGAAATGGCATCCAGTGCCTCGGACCGTTCCAGTATTCAGTCACACTGGCGGATCACATCTCCCACTGTCGGCTTTCATCCCCCTCAGCTAGTGAATGATGCATTTTGTGAGTTTCACTGAGGAAATCTGGTGCTCGTATTACACAGATTTATGCATCTGAAGACAAGCTTTATCTAGGATGTTTTGAAGAGCACAGACATGCTGAATGAGTTACCCTTTCAATGAACACGAGCCTGATGAAAGAAATGTCAGATTGTAATTTAGCTCGGCGCTGACACAGTCACCACACACACACCCCCACACACAGACACTCTTCTCTTCCCATTCCCATCCAAAGACATTGGCAGATGGAGGCGTCTTTGTCTCGCCAGAAGTTTTCCGACCTTGAAAAAGCCACCCCTCCTCAGTTTAATGAAGGCGAGCCACAACAGTGGTGTAGTAATGACTGGATTGTGTACAGCATTATCCCTCCCCCTCCTGGACAGAGCCTTTGTGTTCACCGCAGGCCGAGCTTCTCCCACCACAGAGCAAGGGAGGGGAGAGAAAACAAGCGCGCCTCCCCGATGCTAACTCAATAATGACTTCCCACGGGGGAAAGAGAATACGGGGCAGTCTTTGAAGTGGCTGTGCTGCAGGAGCCTCTTCTGCCCCAGCCTCGCTACAGGGAAGCTCTCACGTGGGTTTTTATAGAGCCTGGGACCTAAACAGGCTCCATACAGCCTGCACACACTCATCATCGGCCGCGGGTACATTAATGTCTTGATATCCTGTAGTCACTGTGGGAAAACGCTCTTTGTCATTGTTAAAAATGTTGTGTAGGACTTGGGGATCTGTGCCCGTCTTTACTGACTCTCACACATGGAGACCACCAAATTGCTGGACTTGTTGTTCACACACCTCACTTCTTCAGACAGCTAAGCAGACTCATTTCCATGGTCGAGGGATGGCAATGTTGGCCGGTGGGTCCACCGCTTTGGTTTAGTCTTAAAATATCGCAACAGCCGTTGGATGCATTGCCGTGACATTTGGTAGAGAATATCCATGGTGCCCAGAGAATGTGATGACTTTGTTGATCCCATACCTTTTTCTTACAGCACCACCACAAGGTTGTCATTTGAGGTTGTGAGTGCAGTGTCTTGACAGCTATCGAATGGATTACCATCAAATTTGGCACAGACAGAAAAAAAGGCATGTACATTGTGAAGAAGAACGTTTGGTGATCCCTTAACTTTTGATCTAGTGCCGTACTTTGGTTTTTGACTAAATATCTAAAAAAACTAATGACATTCCCATCAGCCTCAGCTGTACGTTGTGTTTAGTGATAGGTTAGCAAAGCGCCCAAAACACAGCTTTGCCTAAGCGGGCGTTCAGACCAAATCAGACTGTGATGTGAAAAACACTGCGTTGGTAGGGGCATGTTGCTTTAAGTACTGGTGAGACATGGCAAGTCCAATTTTTAACTGCAGTGGTTTATACTCATACTTAATACAATTAAACTGGATTTTTACAAATCTGGAAAGTGATCACTGCAGCAATTATTTCATCTTATGCTGTGACAATTGCAAGGTAAACCGTTAAAAATATGGCCTTTCGCATTACAAAGTAATCCACCAGGAATGTGCTCTTGTGATAGGTCAACGCAGCGTCTTGCTCGATGAAATTGGGTTGCGTTGCCGGACACCGTACCCATACATACACACGATTCAACGATCAGTCATCTATACACTTTCTGATTCAAATATGTGAATTGTTAGTCGGGGACACCCCCACTTTAAAAACAGGTTAAAAATATATATATATTTTCATTGTTTAAAAAGACTAAATAAAACGCTGTGGTACTGAAGTGCAACTGTGTGGCCCACGGATGTGTTTTTAATTGGATCCGTAGAGAAAATATGAAGCTTTGGCTACACAAACAGTAGTTGTCAGTAGTGTCAATTTACTGTTGGTTTTGGTATTTTCAAGGAATTTGTTGACAATAAAGAAAATAACAAATATTACTGTATTAATTATTGTATTATTATTTATTGTTTCATGCAAGACTCACATTTACAGTTTCGTCCTCACAATGTACATTTTTATTCTGTCTTATGGGTTTTATTTGATAGGATTTTCAGATTTTGTGCCTGAGAATGTTGTGCATTGCAGCCCCACTCACAGCTCCATGACCGAAATCACAGGGGAAGATTTTTCAAGAATCTTTCTACGTTGGCAACTGGCAACTTGCCCAAGCATCTTTGCAGGAAAATCCTCTTTGGCTACTGTTTTCAAATTCTGCCACATTGTGACAGAGACAACTGCCAAAGCATTTTTTGATTAAGATGCATGTGAGAGGGGGCATTCTGTCTCTGTACACCTCCCACCCATCCCCAGTATCTCCCTTTATGTTTCTCAGTATACAGTGTGCATCCATATTATACAGCACAACTATAAAATCTGTTATCACAGTCAGTCCTGAGGGCATAAATGAATACACAGCCCCTACATGCTGCTTCCTTAAACACACTACTCAACAGAGTAGGGAACTCATTAGGGCTGCCCGGTAATGAGGAGCCATCCTGGTGCTCAGCAATGGGTTAATTGGGCCATAGAGGGCACCAGGAGTCCAGTGTGAAAATGTGAATGGCAGCGGAAGAGTAGTCCCACCACACACTCCCACACACCAGCACAGCTCACAGACTTTATTCCGCCCTGAATGGAAGTAGTCTGAATGGCTGTAACCCACAGAGGTCACCTTGTAATCACCATGGCAATAGGGGCGGCACACACGCCCTAAGCGCACTGGGGGACGAATAGCAACCACTTAAGTTTTAAGGCAGCATGGCAGGCCTTCCCAGTGTGAATAATGTGCAGGCGGCGGCCTCCCAACAATCTGATGGCTTTACACAAATGGGGCCTTGTAGGAGGACATTCATCAGCAATAAAACACCTTCTCTCTCTTCAAGGAGTCCGTTGTGTCTTCTGGGGTAACGCAACTATAAAACTGAAGCTACTGGACAGCAACATTGTTTAATATACTGCTTTATGGGGGCATTTTCTTAATCTTTGAAGACATTCAGCTGTGAGGCTGCAGCTCTGAGCCATTCTCTGTCCAGACCTTGTGCACAATTGCAGTCTGTTGGGCCATTCAGTGTTAACCTTCTGCAGGATTTATGCTCACAGTGTGCTCGTGTTTGTTCTGTTAGTTCCCTCTGCAGCCCGATAGTTGGGCAAAATATCCAGTTTAAAATTCAAATCCGACTGTAAGGATCTTTTTCTCTCTCTGGCATGCAATAAGCACAAATGCATTCTTTAAAGTAGGGCTAGGCAATACAACAATAACAATTATCGCAGTATTATTTTTTTCTCAATAAGAAATTTTTCAATAAATGTTTGATTTAATTCATTTGAATCGCAACCAAATTAGCACTTAATTTTTCTATTACAATATTTATTTTGTTGAGGAAAAGGGACTGAAAAAAAGATTTAACTTTTACTTTATTTTGTTGAAAAAAGATTTTTTCACTATTGTTTGTTAAGTGTTGGTCACGTTCTGACCACAAAGAATAGTTTAAAACCGCCAGTAACCATCTCATTTCTTCCACTCAGGAGCAAAAATCAGCCTTTAAACTTGAAATAAATGATGATTTGACATTTATCGTAGTGATAATAATCGATATCGAATGAAAACATTTTTTCATCATGATAGCCGTTACGGCCATATCTCTCAGCCTTACTTGAAAGTATTAAAATCGCATCCTGTGTGGCGTAAAAGGTTCCTCTGCTTGCTTTCATCCTCCGCAAACATGTCATTGTTACCACTCGCTGCCACCTCTCCTCTTTGCAGCCTCTAACTGTTGGCTTAGCCTTGGAGGAGGAGGGGTCTGCCTCTCTCTGTAATCCCTCTCAGTCTCTTATCACCTCTCGCAGGGAGAGCAGCGGTGGGGGAGGAGAAGCGCCCGGGCCCCGTGTATCAGTGCCGCTCATCTCCCTACATTATTAAACATCCATATTTCCATATTTCATTGAACCCCCCCCCCCGCGCGCCTCGGCAAATCGTGGTCTACTTAGCATTCAGATGAGAATGGGATATGGTTAATGGGTATTAGATTTGTAGATGGTTATCCTGCGGCTATGTCTTTAGTACGCAGAGCCAGTCGATCAGTCAGTCGTCGTGGCTCTCTCTCTCGGGTACCACTGATGAAGTTGTAGTTGGATGTCTGGTATTTTTTGTTTTTTTTTTCCCTCTTTGCACAGCCATACACCAGGTTTATTGAGGAAAGTGAAACAACTTTTGGTTTTCCTAACTTGTCCCCCGTTCCCACTCTTCATCTTCACAGGTCCAAGAAGATGACAGCCTTGGTCGCGACATTAAACAAAGCCTCCCTGCGGAAAAAAGACTTGAAGCTGGATCTTGAGGAGCTAGAGGAGGCAGCGACAATGGTGGTAGAAGAAGAAGAGCAGGGACCTTCCGAGAGCGCTCCGATATCCCGCGATGACTGCAGCAGCTCTTGCAGTGACAGCAGCAGCAGCAGCAGCAGCAGCAGCGACTCGTCTGATGAGAGTGAGGAATCTGAGGGAGGAGGAGGAGGAGAGATGTCTAAGGACAACCCTCCACAGCCCCATTCCACCTCCTCTGCCTCTCTCATCCCCCAGGAGCCCTCAAGCACACTCTGCTCAGCGGAGAGGAAAGTGGACGCCCTCCCTCAGCCACAGAAGGCTCCAGGCAGCTGATCCAGGAGCTAGGGGAACGGGTGGCAGAGGAGTTACAAATCTCTCAAGACTCCAGCTACAAAGCAGAGAGCAACTGTTCACAGCTGAACAGCGCTGCAGCAAAAACTGAAGTAACATCTGGGAGGAGCAGCAGTGGGACTTTGTTAGAGCCGAGCCCTCGCAGGAACCCTCTGCTCATCGTCCAAACACGGCAAGATCTTGATGAGAGTGACTTCATCTGCTGATAGAACATTTTGTGGAACCTGAAAGCCACTTACTGAATGAATTCTGAACTGTTAATACCTCGGTGTAAGTGATGAGAGAAAATGTGTTTAGTTTTTAATGATTTCACTTCTGTTTTTGGAATCTTCTTTTATTGCTTTTCTTTGTGATTCAAAGTTTTAGTGTTTAACCCTCTTCTAAAGGACTTTACTTGCCATAAAGAATTGTATTTTTTTTTATCTATGAACTTGCTAAACCTCATTAAAATCCTGATTTCACAATTCAATGGTTGTTTACTGAGCATGTGTATGCTTTTAGTTATTCCTTATTTTAGTAGTTGGTAGAAGAAATAGATGCAGCCCACTCTTCTGTCTTGCCTTGTGTTATCGTGCTACTGCTGCTCTATCAAAGCTGCCTGCATGCTATACAAACATATTCTTAACAGCTAAAAAAAACAGTTGTACAGTTTTTTGTTGATTTTATGGGTAATTTCTGCTCTTCTTTAATCATTGGAAATAATTCAAGCTCATCACTGAAACTGAAATCTGCTAAAGTTCTCTACTACCATTGTATATTTCCATACTCATATTGACAAAAAACAGCCTGTATATCCACGTTGTGCTCCAATAAACAAACATTTGTCATTGTTCATTGTTGTATATCAGTCAGCCAAAGTGCCTGGCAGATTTACTTTTAGGGAGCTATTCTTTTCCTAATAGTAGGAAAAGTACTAACCCGTTCCCAAAGCCACGGCATTGATTGAAGTGGAAAAGACTGCCGGCGCTAAACAGGGCTGCGGAGCACACAGGAGTGATTGATTCATCTGGCATGAATGGAGGAGCGCCGTCAACACAGCTCAATATCATTGGCCGCGTCTAGCAGGCGAGAGAAAACAAACAAGGAAGGAACATGTCAGGCAGATAGATGAGGGCTGCAAGCAAGGCTGCGGCACGGGAGACGTTTGTTTGAGAGATAAAAGCACCCCGCGGCCTGAGGCAGCCACGAGATGGAGGAGCAGAGGGCCGGCAGAGAAACTGACACTGGCCAGCTTAGGCATGGATATGTCCACATAAATTGGCAGCAGCAATATCCACCTACCCTGCAATAAAATGCATTTTAAATTGTGTCCCCTAAGTAGACTTAGACTGAGTAGCCTTGATATCTGTAATTGAGGAAGAAATTACCCAAATTAGCAGAACTTGTCAGGTTTTGTGATCCTAATGGCTCATAACGGGCTGAGGGAGTGATTGATCAAGCACTGCCGCAGTAAGGCCTCAGGCTTTTTCAAGGGGAATTTCATCCTACATGAATGAAGGCAGCTCAGCCAGCCACCGGTGATGATGGCTCCTTAGGTAGGCGCTGTCTGTAGTATTGTGTTACCAAGATGGATGGTGTTGTTAAGCACCTCCCAAGAAGAGACAACCTCCTCGCAACATCCCCATTGGGAGCGAGCGCCATCGTTGCTGTGACTGAGATGAGTTGCACCGTGAAAGTCGGCCCATTTTCAACCCCCTTCATTCTGGGGACACGAGTCGAGGGACTGCGCGGTCCCCGCAGGCAGTGATTCCCCCTCCCCGCTGGCTTTTCACATTGATTAAGTGACACCGGGCTCTGTTGCCGTTTTTCATTTTAAAGTGGCCTCCATATCCTCCCATTAGTGCACCCATCTCAGAGCCTGACCGAGGGATCTGCGGCCAAGCACGGCACTTCAGTTGGTTCTTCTGCAATTAATACTCCACACTAGCAGACATTTTTCAAGAGACTAGGCCATGGTTTAATGAAGGTAGCTGATAAATTATACAAGGCTGTAATTAATGTGATGTCTGTTCTCTATTTTGAGTTAGATTTGATAAATCAGCCACTTACTTGTGTAGTGAGCGTGCCCTTTGACCCCCAAGGGTCTAAGAAACTGGAGCAATGTGTTCAGGACTGATGTGTGCCACCGTGGTAATTAGCACAGTAACAACAGCACATGTCTAATAAGGTAAGACCGCTAAGGCTCAGGATAAATTTGCCTTTTATCAAGGTATGCATTGTTCACATACTTACCAGCACATTTTATGCGTATCTGGACAATTAAAAAGTAAAGTTGCTAGGGGACAGCTGGGGGGGGGTTTATTGATTTTTTATAAACAAATTCTTGTTGATTTTTCTCATACTTAAAATTACAAAGATTGTTGAGATTCACTGATTTTTTTTGATGACCTGTCCAGGGTGTATCCCGTCTTTCGCCCGATGTCAGCCCCCAGCGACCCTGTATGCAGGATAAGCGGTTGACGATGGATGGATTTGAACAGGTTTACAAGTTTATGCTTGTTGAATGGGTGTATTGATTAAATATTGGCTTTTTTCTCACTAAGGTTGATCAGTAATGAGCGTAGTTGTCATCAACTCCATGAAACTTCACTTCTCTTCCAGAGCTGCCTCTCTGCTCCGCTGACCATTGACTGTTCTCCAACTGTGTGTGTTTGTGTAGGAGCTCACAGAGAGCAGCACTTCTATGATTTCAACACAGAAATACTGTTCACAAGGTAACGCTGGCAAAATCACAGGAAAAATAGGGCTTGTTGAGATAGGATTTTAATGTGTTCAAGACGTAGGACACATACCTGACAACGCCACTGCTTCCAGCACACCTGTAGCGATGACAACATTGACACAGAAATGCTACTCTGGGGACTAGTTCCAGGGACCCTGTAATGATTTGAGATTTGGGGTGCTTGGACGCCCCGCAAATCTCTTTGTTCCACGAACACGCTTTAGAAACAGTGTAAAACAAGCGATTTCCCCCTTAAAAAATCGGAGCGTTCCTGTGCATTCCCCACCACTGCCACTCTCATATCTGTAAAGCTCACTGATTAAGAGAGTGTCCAGGAAGTTACTGCACCCTTCCAAGAAGTAGACTGGAACATAACCCCCCATAAAACCACAGTCTGTCGTTTTTACTCTTCAGTTTTTGTACCGATCAAACAAACAGGATGAAACATTGTTAGTAAGCTTTGGCAGATCTTTTTACCATTGGACAGAATCAGACTACCAGTTACCCTGTTTCCAGTCTTTATGCTAAGCTAAGCTAAGCTAAAATAAGCTAAGCTAGCCATCTCCTGGCTGTGGCGTCATATTTAACAGGCAGATATGAGTGAGGTATTGATCTTCCCAAACTAACTCTCAGCAAGAGAGCAAGTAAGAAAGCAAATGTGATTTCTTTATGAGTATGCCTTTAACCTCATCTCCAACATATGGAATGATATCAAGAATGTCAGGGCTTACTTGCATCTCACCATAAATTATTAATTAATTATTAATTTTGAAAAACACCATAATATGGATAGCCCTTCTGGAATGCATAGTTAGCAATAAGTATATGAGACGCTTATCTTAAAATGCCATATGTTGTATGTATAGTCCAATGTGACACAGGGACTCATTTAAAACATTCAGCTTTTCTGTCTGTGAAGATTAAGTGAACCATTTGTCTCTTTCATATAAATATACTCTACTAACAGCAGTGCATTTACTGTGACCTTGCTTGCTCCAGTGTGAGTAGACATTTTAAAATGATCTCACTAATGTGATAGTGTACTCCCTCACTTTTTTTTGTTTTAAATGGCAAAGGCAGCAGCAAGGACAGTGTCGTCACTGCCCCCTCTGCCTGCGACAAACTGCCTCTGGTTGATTGTAATAGAAAACCCATTCTCCTCTCCCAATCCTGAGAGGCAAAGTGATGCGGGTGCTTGAAAAGATTAATAGCCCTCAAGAAGAAATGAATCAGGTGCTCTCCAGGGCCTGACCCCTCCAACGGGCAGGCAAATAGAAGTCCTTTTGTGCAGCCTTTCTCTTGCGGCTGTGTCGGCTGGTGTGGCTCGGCTTTCCCTTTTGTGGCCTTCGTACTGTGTCATGTCGCTCCAGACTTGGCCGCCGAAGAGACGAGGAGCGGCTCCGGCGCTCGCGCTCGCGAAAGAGAAGCAGGTGGCCGCTTCCTTCAGCTCATTCTTCGGGCTTTGTAGTCAGTCCTCTTGAAATGACTGGCGTATGGTAATGAGGGAATGAGTGCATGGGATGTGTCAGTGTCTCTCAGGCTGACAGTGCTGACAGGGAGGGATTATCTAAATGGGCTATTTTCATGCTCTTAATCACAAAGGAAACAGAGAAATGCCCCCTTTCCGCAGTGTGTGGGAGCGTGTATGTGTGGGTGGCTGTGTGTTGACAGCGCGGCATCCACTTGTCGTCTGTAGCGTTGCCTGGCTGATTCACTCTAATTGGTGTGAGCAATGTCCGTTAAATCACTCCCTAACTCTCAGTGGACATGTGCTATCAGGCAGCTTAATGCTGCAAATTGCCTCTGCCATGGAGCTGTGTGTGTGTGTGTGTGTGAGAGAGAGAGAGAGAGAAAGCATCGTTCTAGCACCTTGTTAAGTGTGTTGGGGTTGCAGGGATGTTGATAAGTGGGAAGGTAGAGGGGAGTCACCTGGAAGAGTAGCCACACCTTAGGCTTGCCTTCTTGAAATTGATTGTTTATTAAAATCAGTATGAATATTACTTAATTACTTAATTAATAAAAATTAGGCTATCAAGTTACAACCAACTTACCCATTGGACTTTAAGAGGTTTTTGTGCATCCAAAGAAACTTCTATAAAAGCCAGACCAGATGTCTAATTGAGACCTGCGTTTATCTGTCAAAACGTGTAGCCACACCAGGCTTTACAGTATACTCCTCCACTTAGTACATTACAATGCTACCCCTGAGGACCTGACAGCTGAGATACAGTGCAGCTTGTCAAAATTTCGCACTGGTAAACAACAGCACATTTTCTAATGAGCCTGCTTGCACATAGTGTTGTCTCGAGCCTCTTCTTCTCTTGTCCACAACAGTTGTTCCTTATCTGAGCCAGTCCACGCTCGAGCGTATGTCTCTGCGCTTTCCAAAAAAGCTCCGGTCTTATGTTTGTTTTCGCAGCTAAAACAGCTGTCAAACACGATTAATATTTCAGCGAGAGACCGTGCTGGAGGGAAACTCTAAGTGCTATGGGAGTTGGAAACAACAAACCGACACTGTTGCTTTGTGCCGTTCTCCCTCCTCGACTGCGTCTGCTGTGTGTATTCGCCTGCTCCTGCTTTGCTTTCATGGAACCGAGTGGCCCTTTTATGACTCCTTGAACAAAGCAGCGCTGGATGGAAATTAAAATGAACTGGGCAAAGCTCTTGTTGGTGTCAACAAGCTTTTGGTGTATCAATTCATTTCACGCTGCGGTAGTTTGAACTATAATCATGCTGACTTTGATCTTTTCTTTTCAGAGGCAAGCAGATCAGAGCTTCGTCAGGAGAGAAAGAGGGAAGTCGAACCTCTGAGGCAGTGCCTGTGTTTGCTCTGCCTTATGTCCACGGGACGCTGCCTTTTAGCCTTCAGGTCCACCTTACTACCCCTCTTGGCTCAGAGTAGAGCAGGCTGAGCCTCAGACTAATGATGCCTCACGGATGTTAGTATGTTGCAACCAGACAGTGAACAAAGGTTTCTCATGCTCATACTCCCCGAGCGCTCAGCAGACAAGCTCCCCTGACATTACCAACACAGGATCTTGACACAGATAAAAGCCTCTGCTTGAGCATAAACACAGAAACACACTCCTCTCCTTCTCTAAATTTTCTCT